TGAGCATTCATTTTCTTTCTTTTTTGTAATGTAAGTATTTAGCTTTCCTAGAAGGGAAGTTATGAGACAAAATGTGCAGCTAACTTCTAAGCGACCTCTGTGAGTTCAGAGGAAGAAGAAGAAGAAGAAGAAGAGGAGGAGGAGGAGGAGGAGGAGGAGTTCAGATTTGATATCCTGCTTTATCACTACCCGAACATAGCTGTCAACTTACAGATTTGAAAATAAGGGACCAGCAGCCAAAATAAGGGATTTTAGTCAACCAGCTAAAATACAAAGTTAAAAGCGACCAGATAATTTTGGATTATCTGGAATTAAATAACTGCAATTAAATAACTACAAGCAGCAACCACTTTTCGCGTAAAACGAAGTCCAAGCTACGAAGATGCTGCTGCAGTTCTGTATTTTTCTCTCGTGCTCCATCTGCAGCTCTCAGTTCCATCAGGTGGGGCGGGAGGAAGGGGGGGGGAATAGCACCCGAAGTAAACCCGCAGATCAGACCATCTGTGCTAGTCTACCACTACAAATCTATGGGAGAAGTGCTTGCAGTCCTTCCTCTGCTTTCCCCCTCTATGGTTAGCCCTTGGAACAGGTCCTGGCGGGTAGGGGCTCCCAGGGGCTGAGGCTGGTGAGAGGAGGCCGGAGGGGGGCGGGCCGGGCAGCCAAGCAATACAGTTGGAACCTCCCTCCTCCCTGGCCGGCAGGGAGGGAGGGAGAGGAGCTGCTTCCTTTGAAACCCGGGAAATTTAAGGGACATCCATCAATAAGGGACAGCAGCGGGACATGGTGCTGGGATAAGGGACTGTCCCTCCAAATAAGGGACGCTTGACAGCTATGTACCCAAAGGAGTCTCAAAGTGGCTAACAATCACCTTTCCCTTCCTCCCCCACAACAAACACTCTGTGAGGTGAGTGAGGCTGAGAGACTTCAAAGAAGTGTGACTGGCCCAAGGAGGAGGAGGGAATCAAACCTGGTTCACCAGATTATGAGTCCACCGCTCCTAACCACTACACCACCACACGGTTTGACCACCTTGTATATTTTTCCTGGTACTGAGGAATGCTCCCTGTTGTTATTAGACAGCAACAGCATCAGTATATTTATGTGTGCTTGTGCCTACACCCCATAGCAGCTATTTTGGGACTGGTGCCCTCAAGCATGTGTAGCAAATCTTTAGAAGTCTGCTATAAGGAACTGAAAACACGGAAGTGCAGTTTGCAAAGAGTCTATTTGCACGGAGAATTCATGGGAAGTTCAGGCCTTGCGTTCCCACCACCCAACCCTCAACCTATACTAAAAATACATCACACTCTATTTCTTCGCATTTGTTTATAGTTATCCACATGAGCCTGGAAAACAGAAGCAAATCATAGAACACTTGGAGGACAGCCTTTTCTAGAGGATCAAAGAGGATCAAAGGCACTAAGTGAGTGGGATGTTCCTCAAGGACTTGCTGTGGGGAGGTGGGAGAAAGAGAAGAGCTGGTCAGAAGCCAACTGGCTAAGGTTCTATTCATCACTGTAGACAGGTAAGGTCTCATGGTGGAGAAAAGAGGGATGGCAAGGATCCATGTCAGGGGTGGCAAAGTGATTGGACCTCTCAGAAGAGAGTTCTTCCAGCATCACCACCACCCCGTCCTCACACTAATTGTTGTGTTTTTATGCAATCTCTTATCACTCGGGGAAGTGGAGCAGGCCTGACAGATTCTGGATAATTTGCTAAAAGGAAATGAGAATCAGGAAGTGGGTTTTACGGAAAATCTTTTTCGTGAAGTGGTTTAATTTGCACCCACACTGAAATACCCCGTATTCTCTAAGCATCCCCCCCCCAGATTGGTCCTGACAGTTCGGATGACAACCACTTCTAGAAAAGAAGATCGAAGGTATCAAGTGAATGGAGCTCTCAGGCTAGGTGCAATGGAGAAGGAATAGTTGGATAGCAATAGCACCCAGTTCAGCCTGAGGTGGGAATCAGAATGCCAAAATTCTGGGCCATGGCAGTTCTACTACTTGGATGAGCTCTGGATGATTGGAGATTCAGCAGTCCTGGGTTTTAGAGGCTACATCAGGCAATGCAAGCACCAGGTATGGCTGAATCACAACTCCCATCACCCCTGATCATTGACCATGGTGGCTGGGGCTGATGGGAGTTGGAGTTCCACAGCATCTGGGGTACTGAATCCGCAGCTCTGTTGTGGTGGACACAAGACTGCATTGCTGTAATTTGTTGTTGAGCAAGGATATTATGTCCTGTGGGGTAGGGGAGGAAGCATGGAAAGTTGAGAGCCAGCTAAAATCGAGTGAGGTCTTTGGAGATAAAATTGGAGAAATCACAAGGGGGAAAAATAGAGAGGAGAGAACTGGAGATTCATCTACCGCCTGTTCTATCCACACCTGTCCACATTCAGGGATCCAATGTATCTTTGAATAGGCTACCATGTACTAGAGGCAAACACAGGGAAGGATTGCAACCTTTGTGTCTTGTTTATGGGTACAGATTGAGAAGAAATTTCATTCTCCAGCAAAACTAGCAAAAATGTATAAAAATAGACCACCCATTTGCTGGAGATGTAAAAAAGAAATGGGGTCTTCCTTGCACATGTGGTGGAATTGTGTAGTCATTTGAGAATTCTGGAATAACATCTATGATGAAGTTAAAAAAATATTTAAATTCCATTTCAAAAAGAGACCAGAAGCCTTCCTTCTAGGTATATTGCCAATAGAAATAAGAAAAAAACATAAGACCATTGTTCATGGATGCCACAACTGTAGCCAGAATATTAGTGGCAAGAAACTGGAAGAACAAAACAATACCTACAATAGCAGAGTGGCAAGCCCTAATGATTGAATACCTCCAGCTGGCAAAGATGACATGAAGAGTAAGAAGTCATCTGAAACAGAGAGTCTATAAGGAATGGAGAATATTTAAAGAATATTTTAAAAACTATTGTATGAACAAGAATCTCTTGGCAGAATTAGAGTGATTCTTGCAAAATAAAAAGTGTAAATGACATTTTGTGTGGACATATGAAGATAAACTAGCGTAATACGAGACTGTACGGTACAAAGGAAAGAATAGATATCGTAAATGAGAATATTTGGAAGTCTTTTTTAGTTCATTTCTAGAAACCTTTCCTGTTCTTTTGTGAGTTTGTATTTATATGAATTTAAGTGTTAATATGTTACTGTATTTATGCAGAAGAAATGTATAATGCCTTATATCTCTTTGTCCCTTTTCTTTCTTCTTTCCTTTTTCTGTTTCTATACTAAATGTTGTTATGTATTTATATTTTTAATCTAAACCAATAAAGATTATTGAGAAGATATTTTATTCATTTCCCATTTAAAGAAAAAACAAACAAAAGTAATTTGCACTTTCCAAAAAGATACATGAACTGAAAGACATCCTTTGAAATTTCCACTCTTCTGAATTTTGCGATGCAGTTCTGGAGCCAAGCAATGTGAATAAAAATCCACTGTCCACTGTGAAATGTGCATGCAAATGCCTGAATCGGGGAAATAACAAACATTATAATGGGGAACAATGGTTTGCAACAATTCGTATATTAGGGGGAAACTGCATGCAAAACTTGGTATGTTACGTGAAATTTGTATAAAATGAAGATGATTTTTCATAAAGGCTTTCTTTCTTTTTTGAGTTGCAGACTAATATGGTAATGTGGGGAACTGAATTTAGGTTTGCAAAAATGAGAAAAAATGAAACTGACATACTAACACCCTCGCTTGTGGGTAACAACACACATTCTTAAACTTAAGGCATGCAATAACCAAGGCGGGTGAATCTTTCAGTTTCTGTTTATCTCATTTTCTCATTTTTCCAGTCTTAATGCTTTACATTTCTGCATCAGTTTGCAATTGTTATTGCAAATACTTTTAAAAACATTCTTCGTGAAAATTGATCAGTATTTTAGTGTGAATTTCTCCCGATAAATTCATCTCTGAATACAGTTTTGTCTAATGTACATTTTAAGCATTTTCCCCCTTGATCAGAACTATAATGTCCAGATAAAGGGAAGTAACAGTATCACTCTATTCTACCTTGGTCATACCACATCTGGAGTATTGTGTCCAGCTCTGTGCATCACAATTTAAGAAGGAAATTGAAAAGCTGGAACGTGTGCAGAGGAGGGTGACCAAGATGATCAAGGGTCTAGAAACCAAGCCTTACGGAGAATGACTTAGGGAGCCGGGTATGTTTAGCTTGGAAAAGAGGAGACAGAGAGGAAAGATGATAGGCATCTTCAAGTATCTAAAGGGCCGTCATATGGAAGTTGGAGAAAGCTTATTTTCTCCTGCTCTGGAGTGTAGGATCCAAACCAATGGCTTCAAGTTAAAAGAAAGGAGATTCTGACTAAACATCAGGAGAACTTTATGGCAGCAAGTGCTGTTTGATTGTGGATCGGTCTCCCTGGGGAGGTTGTGAACTCTCCTTCACTGGAGGCTTTTAAGCAGAGGTTGGATGGTCATTTGTCTTGGGTGCTTTAGTTGATATCCCTGCATTTCAGGGGGTTGGACTAGATGACCCTTGGGGTTCATTCCAACTTTAAAATATAGGATTCTATAATAAAGCAGGCAGCAGATCTTTCAGAACTCATAGCCAAGATGGTCTCAATCAAATTTTTCTCCTATCCCTATTCCTCCAAATGTAACATTGCTTGTCATCATGAACATTTCTGTTTTCAGCTCCTCCTGGGAGACCTTGTGGTTCTCGATTCAATTTTTAAAAGCTATGCAACAATTGGAGAAAATGAGTTGGAACACATGGGGACTAATGTCTTTATATTTCTCTTTTTGTGGGCTGCCTGTTTCCACTCCAAAAAATTACCCACCTGACTAGTTAATTTAATTTCCAGCTGTCTATAAGTTATGTCCAACATCGTAATCCTAGGGCATAATGTTTTCAATTTCCATATCAACAAAAAACTCTTAAGGATGTTTCTTCTTGTTCCCCTCCTCTGCTATTAACTCAGTCTACTGTTTTCTATCTTCCTCCAGGGCTTCATGGAAACAAGCACAGTGGCCTTCATCTTGGAGAATGCATCAACAGTACGAACAAATGCCAACCATTCCTTGGTAGCCATAAGGCCCATGAACTTAACCATTGCCTGCTTTATCTCTTTGTCTTTCCTGGTGGGGACAGCTGTGAACGGGCTCTTTCTCTGGGTGCTGGGTGTGAAGATGAAGAGATCAGTGAACACCCTCTGGTTCCTCCACCTGATTCTCACCCACATAATCTCCTCTTTGAACATGCCATTCTATGTTGCCTACATTCTTCTTGGTTTCCACTGGGCCTTTGGCACAGTTACCTGCAAGGTCATGAACTCATTGGGTTCTCTGGGGATGTTCAACACTGTCTTTCTTCTCACCATTGTCAATCTGGACCGCTATCTCCTCACCTGCCACCCCATCTGGTCCCAGCATAACCGCACAATCTCTCGAGCACAGAGACTGGTCATAGGAGTTTGGCTTGTGTCCTTAGCCCTGAGTGCCCCTTACTTAGCTTTCAGGGAAACACGAGAGGTAGAGAATGGCAGGCTTGTGTGTGACAATAACTATGCTTTTTCAAATGACTGGGATGATGAGAAGACGAAAGACCTAAGGTATCGTGTTCATTTTGCTTTCTTTGTGACTCGGTTTCTCCTGGCCTTTCTGGTTCCCTTCATGATCATCATGGGCTGCTCTTATTGTATAGGCCAGGAAATGAAGAAGAAAAGGTTGGTGAGGAGAACTAAGAAACCTTTCAGAATCCTTGTGGCTTCTGTGGCATCATTCTTCATCTCCTGGCTTCCTTATCACCTCTACCAGGCTTCAGTGCTCCTTGAGGGACCTGGAATGGTGGGAAATGTACTGAAGCCAATCTTCATCACTGGAGCCTGTTTCAATTTTTGTTTCACACCCATCCTCTACATCTTCGTCGGGGAGAAATTCCAGCAGGTCTTTAAGACATCGATTCTTGCTCTAGCTCAGAAAGCTTTTCTAGATGAACCCATCACATCTGCCTACAATATAAATTCGACAGAAGGAGTGGGGAAGGAAACTGTTGACAGGAACAGCTTGGTGCTGACGGTGACTTAAGACAGTAATCTGCCCAGATTCCTGAGGAAGTAACCTCGGGGCTGTACAGACTCTTCCCAGTCTTTCCCCTCTTCTCTTCTCCCTGTGACTGCTCATTGTTGTCCCACCATCAATCCCTGGACTCTGAGCCTTCTTCCCTTGGGGGTTCCCCAGTTGATTCCGTCCACCATTCCTTTGCGGCCAACCAGTCCATGACATTTGGCTATACTCAAACATATTTCATATCAGCATCAGTTTCATCTGGACCCCTGTTTGAACATTTGGATGACTTATATTAAGTTTTTCCTTTAATTTAGGATCCATGCACAGATTGTGGATTACTATCATTATTAGCATTATTTGTGTATTATTTTTCTTTCTAGTTTTCATTTAATTTTATTCTTCCCCTTTCTTCCCCCCCTTGTTCCTTCTTTTTGTTAAATTTCAAAAAATAAAATAAAAAATTCAAGTTAAAAATTATGGGATGCTCTCCCCGCAGTAAAACGCATCTGTCTCTCTCATTATGAATTTTCAGGAGGAATTTTAAAATGTTCCTGTTCAGCCATGCATTTGATGTCTGAAACATACTGTGCCTTCCTGCCATCTTTGAAATTATAAACTGTTAGATAAAAGGGCTGTTAATGTTTTCATTGCTTTAAATATTTTTTTAAACATTTTAAAAATCATATTATTTTATTACTTTGGTGTTTGCCACCCTGGGCTCTTTTGAAGGAAGAGCAGGATAGAAATTACATACAGAAATAAACACATACATGATAGTGAACTTCAGTGTTGTTTTTGTGCTTCTGTGATTTGTTAAACAGGCTGGATACTGTTAATGTGCCTGCTTGTCCACCAGGTTTCTGGTACGCACAGCAACCCAGGTCATAAGGGGGGCCGGGGTGTGTGTGTGTGTGTTGCCGTGATTTTTAGGAAGTCACTAGTTTACACTGGGTGTCCTATTGGGAAGACCCAGTTTTCCGAGTGCATGTTCTCGAAGTTGGGCAATAGGGGCAGTACAGGATTCCTTCTGGTGTACCGACCTCCCTGCCAAGGATTCCTTGCCTGAGCAGGCACTGAAATTTTTGGGCGCCCGTGTACTTGTAAAAAAATCAAAAGCTTCTGGAACACAGTGTATGACGAGCTTAAACAAATGTTTAAGTATAACTTTATGAAAAATACAGAAGCTTTCTACTATGGATAAAGGACACAGGTATAGCAAGAGAAGATCAGAAAATATTCCTCTATGTCACAGGAGCAGCAAGGATCCTAACTGCTAAAAACTGGAAAAAAGAAACTGTGCCAAAAAAAAGGAATGGCAAGATAAACTGTTAGAGTATATTGAACTGGCTAGATTAACAGAGGCAATCAGAGATCACACTAGACTAGAGTTTCAAAAAGCATGGGGGAAATGCAGAGAATACTTCACAAAACAGTGCCCTAAAATACATACCTGGACTTGTTTCAATTAATGTCTTCAGGAGACTTTGTGGATATTTACGTTATAATTAGAAAAATCTTAATTCATAAAGAAAACAGTTTATAAGAAGTAAATAAGGAGGCCAGATACAGTGGTGCCTCGCAAGACGAAAATAATCCGTTCCGCGAGTCTCTTCGTCTAGCGGTTTTTTCGTCTTGCGAAGCAACCCTATTAGCGGTTTAGCGGTTATTAAAGGCTTAGCGGCTTAGCAGCTAAAAGGCTATTAGCGGCTTAGCGGCTTAGAAAAAGGGGGGGAGCGAAAAAAATCGCAAGACTCTAAAGACGTTTCCGTCTTGTGAAGCAAGCGCATAGGGAAAATCGTCTTGCGAAGCGCATCAAAAAACAGAAAACCCTTTCATCTAGCGGGTTTTTCGTCTTGCGGGGCACCACTGTACAGGATAAAGGAAGTCTTTTATTTGGTTGTTTGTATTGTTGTATGTTATGCTCATTTCATGTTATGTTCATGTTTAATGAGGGTGGATTTGTGTATTGGGTGGGGGGGGTTGTGTTATGTTGTAAATAAAATTCCAATAAAAATTCAAATTCAAAAATGAAATTTGTGGGTGCCCATCCCCTTCATGGGGAATCTTCATGTAGCATTACCGCTCTGTGATCTTCAGATGAAAGGTGATATACAATTTTAAATAATAATAATAATATTAATAATAATAATACTACCAACTAACTCCCTATTGTCCCTGAACAAGGTTCCTTTAACACATGCATGTCAGCCAGGAATCTAACAGATGCATCTTTTCCAGCATGGAGATGCAGTATTTGTGAAAGATGCACTTGATCAATATCTCTTTGTCATTCATATGCTAAAGGAATAGATCCACTATTAGGAGGAAAGGTGGCCTTCACCCTAAAGCTCAGGAGTTGTGTCTGCCCTGCTGAACGCCCTTCCATCAAATGTCAAGGAAAATAAACACCTTTCTGACTTTTAGAAGACATCTGAAGGCAGCCCTGTTTAGGGAAGTGTTTAATGTTTGATGTCTTACTGTGTTTTAATTTGTTGGAAGCCACCCAGAGCGGCTGGGGCAACACAGTCAGCTAGGCAGCATGTGAATAATAAATTTGTTGTTGTTGTTAAATCTAGGTGTACTTACCATATAAACAGGACAATGAGTCCCTCTGTCTTTTTGGATTCTTCTCATAGATTGGTATTTCACAGGACATTGCTAAAATATATTAATATAAGTAGGAAAGATATAAGCATAACTTACAGGAAATGACATCTGTAAAACATGCCACAATCAAGACAAGAGCTCATGTGGCTTCAGTGACAGTTGCACAGATGGAAAATATTACAGGACTTGCCTGTCTATATACTGCATGCAACATTCTGTATTCTATGGAGTCTATTACCCCAGCTGTTTTTTTACACTGGTCATATATGATCATATAAATATATCTGATAAGATCCTGCTGCTGCCAGCCTTTGGTGATGAGAGTGTAATGATGGGAAAATTTCAGGTTCCCACTTTCCCAATCTTACAATTAGTTATCCACTTTTCAACATCAGATTGTGGGTTGTTGTTGTTACTCTGAATGCACTTTACTCTGAATGCCTCCTAATGCACACATTTGTGTGCAATTTTGCCTGTTATTCATATTTTTGCCAAGCGATGCTCCCTAATATAATACATTTTGTATGTTATTTTCACTAACATATTAAACGTTATGCACATTCTACCCTGTTATATGTAGTTTTTGGACACATAGCTTGGTCAGAGGAATGCATTGTAAAATGGTGAGATGTGTGAATTTTGCAGGATAGCTGTGCTTCGGTTCACATATTGTTTCAGAAAGTGAGAATTGGGTAAATTTGCCTTTAAATGCAGACTGGATTATATTTCTCTCCCATCTCCACTCCACTCTCTTCCTGCATTCATATCATTCGAAACTAAAGAATTCAATATTTTAAGTTCTGAATGGTCTGTGTTTGTGTGTAACATTTGATGGCTCCTACTAGTGTGGGGACTACTTTGACATCTTCTAAGTTATGGAAGGAATTATTGGATTGAATTGTTATCTTAACTGTTGCTGATAAATGCTTAATGGATTTAGGTAAGGTAGAAGTTCAGAAACTTAGAGAGGTATAGAACAGGGAATGATAAAGTATCATACAACCAGTTCTACTTAGCTGACTGCAGCTTCTGGAAACTTGTCACCAGGGGCTTATGAACAGGACTCCTAAGCACTTACCTGAGAGCAAGAACTGTTGAATTCAGCAGTACTTCCAAGCATAGGAGCCAACTCCTAGGGGCTGTGGGGACTTCAGTCCCCCAATAAAATATTTGCGGGGGCTGCCCCTCCCAGCTGTACTTTGGAGAGAACACTATTGTGCTCAGTGAGACCTACAACTGATGAGACGGGCATTCTAGGGTTTCGCTATGAGAAGAGAATAGTGAAAGTGAAAATGACAGAAAAAGGCTAGAACTTAAACTTAGGGGAAAGAGAAGTGAGGAGGAAGGAGGTTGATACGGCCACCCTATCCCAAAGGCTCAGAGGCAGACAGAGGCTTCAGCAGAGAGCCAGGCATCTTTGCAGTCTCAGATGTGGTTCTGTTGGGTAACTATATTTTAAGCCTTTAAAACCTTTCTATATTCTGAAAAAGTATCTTCTTTCATCACTTTTGTGGGCATCCTTGATGATGAGGGAACAGTCCACTTGTTCCAAGTCCCCTGAAAGATGGAAGTGATCATGAGCAAAGGGTGATATCCCTTCCTTCCCATGGTTATTGGCCACTGGAAGATTGAAGGAAGTGCAGCTGCCTTTGGTATATCCAGTGCTTTTTTTCTGGGGGAACGCAGGGGTACGCATACCCCTAAACATTTTGTGAATCTTTGTACTTTTGTCCATTTATTGTATTTATTTCCCCCAATTTGAAATATAAAATGGTGGTTTTCTTGAGTCAAAGGGCATTATATGAAGTATGGGAGAGGAGTAAAAAATCAGTAGTGACCAAAACACCATGGTGGCTGTCACCGATGGAATCTATGGCGGTTCATAGGAAAAATGTGAAGAGCGATTGGTTAACATACAAGGATTTAGTAGAGGAAATAAGTAGTGATCCGAAAATAAATGACCTAAGAGAACTGAAACAGAAGGGAATAACCTGGTAGGAGTATTATCAACTAAAAGTCACCATTGAAAAGGATAAAAGAACTAAAGGATTTGACAAAAACAATCCTATCTGGAGAAGGATATATTATATAATAATCAAAATACACTTTCAGAAATGTACAAACTATTTTTGAATTGGCAAAGAAAGGAGGAGGGTATCAAAGAAATTACAGTAAAATGGGAGAGGGACCTGGGACATCAAATCCAATATTTGGAATGAATTATGGACTAAAAATATAAAATTCATGGCTTGCTTCCTTATAAGGGAAAATCTTATGAAAATGTACTATAGATGGTACTTGACCCCTGTAAAACTAGCAAAAATATATAAATCATATAATAACAAGTGCTGGAGATGTAAGGAACAGATAGGAACATACTATCATATGTGGTGGTCCTGTCTAGAGATACAAAGATTTTGGAATATGATTTATGAAGAGATAAAGAGATTGATAAAAACTACATTTAGCAAGAAACCGGAAGAATTTTTACTAGGAATGGTTTCAGATAACATTCCCCAAAATAAAACCAGGTTATTTATGTATGCGACGTCAGCAGCAAGGGTTATAGTGGCAAAACACTGGAAAGATAAAAATACAGCCACTAAAGAGGAATGGGTAGTCAAATTGTGCGAGTACTTGGAGCTCGCGAAGCTGACAGATGCAATAAGAGATAAACCTAAAAAGATGGAGAAAGAAGAATGGGAATGTCTAAATAATTATCTAGGCGATAAGGGTTCATCAAGAAAGATCTGGTTATGTTTAGAGTGATACCGCATAGGGAAATGTTCCCTGATACCAAGATGAGGGATTCTATGGAATGCAGATAGAGAGAATTGATAAGAATAATGATCTGTTGTGACCTTGACGGAAGTGTACAATAGATAAGCCTTCTTGTGTTTTGGCTCATCTTCCTCTTTTTTTCTTTTTTTCCTTTCCTCCTCCTTCTTTCCTTTTTCTTTTTTCTTTCCCATAATGGCTTATGTTCTATGCCATGTACTTTGATATTTTTTTGTAGTTTTTTTTAGCTTTTTTCATCATTATTATTATCAAGGAATTTTCTTTTGTAATTTTGGTTGTCTATATTTATCTGTATTTGTTTAAAGCAAAATAAAAGTATTTTAAAAAAAGAAAGAAAAGACTTATGCTTTCTTTGGGACTAGGATGATATATAGACAAAGGCCTAAGGTATCATGTTTATTTGGCTCTCATTTGGTTTCTCCTGGCTTTCCTGGTTCCTTTCATAATAATCATGGGCTGCTCTTATCAGGTAGGTCAGAAAATGAAGAGGAAAAGTTGGTGAGGGCTGGGAAACTATCAGATTCCTTGTCACTTCTGTGGCATCATTCTTGATCTCCTGGCTTCTGTACCACCTCTTTATAGCCAGAAATTGGCAGAGAAGCTAGGAAGGTGTTGGAAAAGCTGCTTCATGGGACTCTGATGCAAGACAAGTGATGCAGTGCATTTGCTGCCTGATACTTCATTCTTTGTTTTCCTTCATTATCCTCTGCTTGTATATTTCCAAATATAGTCAATGTCACAAAGGCATGATAATGAGAGTTCAACGTGGGGTGAGATATTATCTGGCCCTAAAACCACCCCATTTTTCCCCCAAAAATTTGAAATAGAAACCACCCCACATCCTTTTTTTAAAACTGAAGTGAAACCACCCACTTCATTTGCCCACTGGAGCAGTGAATGCAAATGATATTTCAGCTACAGGGACTTGAGGCTGCAATTCTTCAGAAAGCCGAAAGCAAGCAAACAAAGCCAAAAACTAAAGCAACAACGAAACAAAAAATGGTAGTAAACCTTGTTGCAGACAGTGATATTTACTTCTGAGTAAACATGCTGAGGGCGTTACTCTAAAACAGGCAGCGTTGCCAGCGGAACTCGCTAACAATATATAATTCATGGGCACTCTGTTCCCAAAAACTGAGAAGAAGGAAATGGGTTATACAGCGAACCCACTTGCAGAAATAATTTGTGTGACTCACAAGTCTTTCAGTTCTCATAAATATGCTATGCCCTTGGAGGACTTCTTCAGTTCTGAATGCTGAAATGAACAATGGAACGCGTTGGGGACAACTATTCTAGACAAGCAGATCAAGTGAGTGGACATGCTCTGACGACTGGGTGGCAGGGTGGGTGGGGAAGAGAAGGAAAGTTTAAAATCTTTAAAATTGGTTGTCTTTGTAGTTATGGAAGATGAAGTCTTCAGATGGAAAAGGGTGGTGTTGGAACACAAGGGATTGGCAACACAAGGCTCTCCAGATGTTGGTGATCTATAGTTCCCATAATCTCTGTTCATTGGTTTTGCTGGCTGAGACTGATGGATGGAAGCTAAAGTTGAGCAACATCTGGAAATCCACAGGACCTTCATGAGGACTTGGGTCAGAGTTGTAAACTGAATGAGATTCAGCAATCTTCGTTTCCAGCTGTTAATGGGAAATGGGTTTGAGAGCAGGGAAGCTATGAATTAGTTTTGAACTCCAAGCCTGATATCTGTCCTAGTGAAACCATATGAATGCATGTGGTTGCTGATGTTGTTTCTTTGAAGCTTAGAGTGCTAAGTTGCTTAGTTTTGAAATTTGCTTACTCAGAGTGCATAAGCCTGACTGGATAGACACATTTTCTCATTTCCTGTGTTCTGATCTCTCCCCCAACCTCCCCGTGTTCCCTCTAACTTTCACCTGCCTGCATCTCAAATCTCTTCCTTCTTCTTCCAGGGCACTATGGAGAAAAATAACACAACTATCAGCTTGCAGAATTCCAGCAACACAGAGATGGATATAAGCCACCTTCCAGCAGACACAAATCTGGTTGTTGCCATCCTTATCTTCACATCCTTCTTGGTGGGGATAACTGTGAATGGGCTCTTCCTCTGGGTGCTGGGGATGAAGATGAAGAGAACTGTGAATACTATGTGGTTCCTCCACCTGATCCTCACCTACTTAGTCTCCAGCTCACTCATGCCTTTCTTTGCTGTCTTTGTCCTCCTCAATTTTGACTGGGTCTTTGGCCCAATCATGTGCAAGATCTTACTCTTCTCCTTCTCTCTGGGGATGTTCAGTACAGTCTTTCTACTCACCACCATCAGCCTGGACCGCTACCTCTTCACCTGCTATCCTGTCTGGTCCCAGCGTAACCGCAGAATACCTTTGGCACGGAAGGTAATTGCAGGAGTCTGGCTTGCTTCCCTAGCTCTGAGCACTCCAAACCTGGCTTTTCTGGAGACTCAAGAAGAGGAGGGGAAGATGAAGTGCAGCTATTCTTTTATTTTCTCCCCAAATCAAGATGATTTCCACGTTTATCTGGCTTTCTTCTTGGTTCGTTTTCTGCTGGCCTTCCTGCTTCCATTCCTCATCATCATGACATGCTACTGTCGGATTGGTTTTGAAATGAAGAAAAAAAGTTTACTGAGGACAGGGAAGATTTCCAAAGTCCTGGTGGCTGCCGTAGCATCATTCTTCATTGGCTGGTTCCCCTACCATCTCTACCATGCTTCACAGCTGTTTAAGGAAGTACCCAAAGCAACAACACAGGTTCTATGGGATACTGCAGCCACCGGAGTTTGTTTCAATATCTGTTTCACCCCGATTCTGTACCTGTTTGTTGGGGAGAAATTCCAGGAGGTCTTCAAGACATCAATTTTTACGGCGTTTAGTAAAGCTTTTGTGGACGATCCCACCAGTCTAGAGGACAATATCCACACTGGCAAGAGGGCTGACCAGAACCATTCAGAGAGCTCAATGGGGAAAACATCTGTTTTGCAGGCAGAGAGTCCCACGTTCAAACCCCAGCATCACCAGGTAAATCTGTGAGAGACTAGTGTTAGAAATCTTGGTGGTCCACTGCCAGACCATGCACTGGACTTCATGGACTAACTTTCCATAGGGCAGCTTCCTATAGAGAAAGACTGTAGCTTGATTGTATATCACAAATGTTGCATGCAAAAGTTCCAAAGCTTCAGTCCCTAGCCTCTCCAGCTTGCGCTGTGAGATACCATACTTTTGTCTGGATCCTTAAAGAGCCATTGCCCAGCAATGTAGACTCTGACTAACGGTCCAGCAGTAAGGCAGCTTCTTATATATGGGGAAAGTACCCAAAACCTGAAAGTGATTTAGGTGAGCAATCTAACATATCCCTGAAGCATCTGCTTTGGACCACATGTAGAGAGGAAGGTGGTTTCTTCAGAATGGGGTGAGGGGCTGTGTCAAATGACCTTTGGTGGGTCCACTCCCCTAGTGGGCTCATGAGGCAGAGACCGTGCTCCCCACTTCATCAAGTGGTTTTTACGGATGACCAAATCTTTGCATCTTGATTTATTGCAGAGGTCTTTTATCTTTTAAAGATACCAGTCCAGTAAGTTTTTTTTCAGGTAAAAGGGATAACTTCTTTTTCAAACAGGGGTGGAGAAACTTTCTGGCCTCTTTGGGGCCAGCTCCTTATCTGACCCCATACCTGCAAGCTAACTTTGATAGGTGGGAGAGGCAACCCACCTGCCAATCATTTTATTTTATTTATTAAATTTCTATACTGCCCTTCATCCAAGGATCACAGGGCGGCTAACAGTATAAAAACACAAAGGTGCCTATCAGCAACAAACAAAACAATACTTGAACCAATGGCTTCAAGTTACAAGAAAGGAGATTCCGACTAAAGATTAGAAAGAACTTTTATTTGGTTGTTTGTATTGTTGTATGTTATGCTCACTGTATGTTATGTTCATGTTTAATGAGGGTAGATTTGTGTATTGTGGGGGTTTATGTTATGTTGTAAATAAAATTCCAATAAAAATTAAAAAAAGAAAAAAGAATTAGTAACATAGGAAGCTGACATGTAGGCATTAAGGGACCTTATCCCATTTTAATTATTCTTGGAGTCTGCCCAAAAAGAAAGAATTGGGGGGGGGGGCCTTCAGTCTCAGTTAACATGTAATCCTATATCTGCCTTAGACCAACAGCTGTACAATAAAGTGTGGCAAATAGCAATTATGGAAAAACGGACAAATAAAATTGGCAAGAAGTTTGAAGCGTAAATACTCTTTTGCAAGATTGGTACAGCTTTATTGTCTACATGTCTAAAAATGAAAACAGGATTGCCGTCACATAATAAAACTTTTTGGTTAGCATTAACTGTACACCGCCTTCCATACATATGCTTGTCTGCGACTGGAAGATACTATGTTATTTGGTTGCTATTTTTGATGTATTGCCTGAACTCCATTGCCCAGGCTAGGGTGGGATATTTTATTTTATATGTGAATGATCTTGGTAATATGTTGCAATAAATTAATGAAATCTATCAAAATAAAGATAAAAAACAATATGGTGCCCGCTACATTCATTGCACCACAAATGCACAACCAGAATACTGTAAACACTTTTCTTAGAAGAAGAAGAAATCATCCATCTTATGTCTGTGTATGAAATAGCAGTGCTAATAATCCATGTTCTTCCTCTTTCATTTGAAATAAACATTCATTTGTGCTCTTTCACTGCCTGGGAGTGCACAGTGATGTGTGTGATGCCGTCTTTCCACTGAGCAAAGGAACATCAGGAGATCCAGTCACCATCATTCTTTTTGCTTCCTTCTGCCCTCTTGGGTCAATGGAGCCTTCCTCCAGTTCGAATACCAAAAGGCCAAGAAAAAGAACACGAAACAAAACAAGACCCTAAAAGCAGATGGTGACATAAGAGAGCCATTAGCCACAAGAGGGGAGGAGGGAACACCCTAGGATCAAGATCAACAAAGGCTAAAGGGGATTTGGGTGGGCTTGTTGCTATCATCATTTCACACAGGTGACCCCCACATTTCAGCCAAATCTGGCTCCCAGGGCAGATACAAAAACCAGAAGAAGGAAGATTACTTACTTCATCAGGATGAGACCTACCACCAAGGGAACAATCAACTCAGAAGAAGCTGAAAAGAAGCAAAAATAAAAGTCAATGTGAACAAAGCAGAACTAGCTCACAATAAAGCAAGAGACGGAAAACAGAAGACAAGATTATTTCACACAGGGATGGCTGATCTGTTTCCCTCCAGATGCTGCTGGACTCTAGCTCCCATCTTTTCTGACCATTGAGCCATGCTGGCAGGGACTGTTGAGAGTTGGAGTCCAACAATATTGGGAGAAATAAAAAAATCCCTTCCAGTAGCACCTTAGAGACCAACTAAGTTGATTAGCACCCAAAGGGTGCTAATCAATGGTTCCTCTTCATCCTGGAGAAGAGTGACTAGTGGGGTGCCACAGGGTTCTGTCTTGGGCCCGGTCTTATTCAACATCTTTATCAACGACTTGGATGATGGACTCAAGGGCATCCTGATCAAATTTGCAGATGACACCAAACTGGGAGGGGTGGCTAACACTCCAGAGGACAGGATCACACTTCAAAACGACCTTGACAGATTAGAGAACTGGGCAAAAACAAACAAGATGAATTTTAACAGGGAGAAATGTAAAGTATTGCACTTGGGCAAAAAAAATGAGAGGCACAAATACAAGATGGGGGACACCTGGCTTGAGAGCAGTACATGTGAAAAGGATCTTGGAGTCTTGGTTGACCACAAACTTGACATGAGCCAACAGTGTGACGCGGCAGCTAAAAAAGCCAATGCAATTCTGGGCTGCATCAATAGGAGTATAGCATCTAGATCAAGGGAAGTAATAGTGCCACTGTATTCTGCTCTGGTCAGACCTCACCTGGAGTACTGTGTCCAGTTCTGGGCACCACAGTTCAAGAAGGACACTGACAAACTAGAACGTGTCCAGAGGAGGGCAACCAAAATGGTCAAAGGCCTGGAAAAGATGCCTTATGAGGAACGGCTAAGGGAGCTGGGCATGTTTAGCCTGGAGAAGAGGAGGTTAAGGGGTGATATGATAGCCATGTTCAAATATATAAAAGGATGTCACATAGAGGAGGGAGAAAGGTTGTTTTCTGCTGCTCCAGAGAAGCAGACACGGAGCAATGGATTCAAACTACAAGAAAGAAGATTCCACCTAAACATTCGGAAGAACTTCCTGACAGTAAGAGCTGTTCGACAGTGGAATTTGCTGCCAAGGAGTGTGGTGGAGTCTCCTTCTTTGGAGGTCTTTAAGCAGAGGCTTGACAACCATATGTCAGGAGTGCTCTGATGGTGTTTCCTGCTTGGCAGGGGGTTGGACTCGATGGCCCTTGTGGTCTCTTCCAACTCTATGATTCTATGATTCTATGATTCTAAGTTTGTTATTGGTATGAGATTTCGTGTGCATGCACACTTCTTCAGATACACTGAAACAGAAGTCACCAGATCCTTATACAGTGGTACCTTGGGTTAAGAACTTAATTCCTTCTGGAGGTCCGTTCTTAACCTGAAACTGTTCTTAACCTGAGGTACCACTTTAGCTAATGGGGCCTTATGGGGATTTTCTAATATCAGCAGGGCTGCAAAAGTCAGGATTTCTCAGTCTGGTGGAGTCTTACCTGTTTTCAAGGAACTAATGTGGAATTGCATGGTGTAGACTCCCAGAGAATTGTTCCCAAGGCAGATGATGCTGAGGTCGCCATCTGGGCTACCTGTCCAAATTAGGGAGCTGGTGACCTCATTCTTCTGGACTGAGGAAGAGACTTTCAGGTCTGCTGTGCTGGTGTTCTCAGCTACAGTCTTCCCGTCCAGTTGCCAATGGATTTGAGGTGGAGGCTTGGAGTGCAGGGAACAGTTGCAGAGGATGTCATTGTCCTTATGCCAACAGGCAGTGTTTTTCTCAGGTTTTTTGCTGAGCTTGGGGGCATCTGCAGAGAACCAAGTAGCCAAGGTGAAGAACACATTCCGATCTAGCTAATGACTGCACCAGCTGCAATACCACAATTCATCCACTAGAGGCACCCGGGAGCAGACACTGCTGCCACCCTAATTCCCTACTCTGTTGCATAAGGTAAAATCCTACTTCGGCTTGGGTTCAGAAGGCAAGGAGTTTCTTTCCCCCTTGTGGCCAGTTTGAAAATAAAAGCAGAATTTACAGGAATGGTTTACAAGAACTTAAGAGCTGTGTCTCATAGAATCTTAGAGTTGGCAGGGACGCCAAGAATCTCAACTAAAGCATCCATGACAGATGGCCACCCTGCCTCCAAGGAAGGAGAGTCCATCACCTCTCGTGGGAGAAAACAATGTGGCCTGGGCTTTTCCAGTCACGGGGCAGCAACAATAGTAAAAGAGGCACTGAATGGGTTTCTTCTGTCCATGCTGCTATTAGAGGCTCAGAAACCCCTTAATGAAAAAGGGAGTTGGCCTCCCTAAATAGTCACAGTACAGTGGTACCTTGGGTTAAGAACTTAATTCGTTCTGGAGGTCTGTTCTTAACCTGAAACTGTTCTTACCCTGAAGCACCACTATAGCTAATGAGGCCTCCTGCTGCTGCTGCACTGCCGCTGCACAATTTCTGTTCTCATCCTGAAGCAAAGTTCTTAACCTGAGGTACTATTTCAGGGTTAGTGGAGTCTGTAACCTGAAACGTATGTACCCTGAAGCATATGTAACCTGAGGTACCACTGTACTCTAGGCAGCTACTCTCTAAAGAGAAAAAGACAATGCAGATTCTCGCTATGCCAAATGAATATCAGAGTATTGGACTGTGCAACACCCCAACAGCTAAACACAAGGCCCACCTATGAGGCTATCACATAGTACCTAAGAGGGGGAAGAGAAATTACTTTGCAAAACGACTTAGGCCCCCACAAGCAGTATCCTTATGGCATCCTTTTCATTGGATAAGCAAAGGAACTATGTTCTGCATCTCCAGGTAGCAAACAGTGAGACCATTGCCACCTGGGGATATTCCTTCATGAGATGCTCATTAGACGAAAAGGTCTTGAAGCAACTGAAGATGGGCAGGTGGGAGAGGGGCATTCAGCCATTCTCCTCCATTGTCCATGCAGACCTTTTCTTACAAAACATCAAAGCCATGTCCTGCACATCCTGCTTTATGGGTAAGACAGATATGTGAACAAAAAACTTCTAAGTTTGGCCTTTTTATTTAATATTAGAGAGCTGTCATTCTGATGAGAGGTTGCATAAATATGCCCTCTCCTGGTGAATGAGGATACTCCCACAGATTTCAGACAAGGGTTATGTTCAGTGACTTGAATTTGTGGTTTTGCCCCTGGGGCTGCATTTATGCATCCTGAAACTAACTTCTTAGAAAGCTTCTGCAAATATGTAAGCTCATCATGGGGTTCCTGAACTTGTGATGAAGCTGTCAAATGCGGCATCTTACACTACTAGGCTGACACACTGTACAATGCAGCCACAGCAGTGTACATTTGCAGAGGTCCCCATAGTGGAAGCATGCTGGTATTAGTTGCAGGTCAAGCCACTTAGCATACAATGGAGTTTCCCAGGTTAATGCCCCCAAGGAACTTCCCGCTCCCCATCTCTTACATTGCACAATCACTGAAATATTCTTCCTCATTGAGCCATGTAGATTCTCTGCCTGACACTGATACATCCCAGCATCCTCTGATTTAATGTTGGACAGTCGAAGGGTATCTTTACTGCCCTGCATATTGTTGTTTAGGGGCTTGTTGTTCTTGAGCCATGTCACGGAGGGAATAGGTTTGCCTTGAGCTTCACAAAGCAGGCTGACGGTGTCACCTTCTCGGACCACCAGCTTTTCTTCCTGCGCGGAGAAATCTGTAAGAGAAATGCAGTTAGATCACAATAGGTCCTGGGATGCCTGAGGCTAAGGAATCCTCATTCAGTGCTGAGATGTTCCTGTGTATTTGGAAGAAGGATGGTTGACACCAGGTCTGCAGAAGTGGGGATTCAAATCTTTACAATGATTATTAATTATAATTGGTTCAAGACAGCTTTGGGCCATAGTTTTGCAAAAAGAGAGATGATTCCCTCATTTCTCTGCAAGTTCAACTGGCAAGAGAATAATAATAATAATAATAATAATAATAATAATAATAATAATATCCACTGTTTTGCCTTCCACTGGGAAGACTTGGGCCCATTTCTTTTCCTTCTCATTCCACTTTAATATACCACTTAATGCCAACATCAGATTCTAAATGGCTTACGAAGTACAAAAACCAGTTACACAAACATTAAAATATAAACACCCACAATTGAAATATGCAATAGAACAGTCCCATCAAATAGAAAACCCACGGCAATTAAAAGAGGAGACCCAGGTCAAGAGCCTGAAGGGTGCTACGGTGGAGAGTGAATTTTGGTTCGGGTGCAAGGATGTGTGCATGGCATGGCATGGCTGCTGGAAAGACCCACTGAGCCCAGCCCCTCCCTGTTACCATCCAGTTTGTCTTCAACTCCTCCCCCCCCCCAAACCACCATCCTGGGCTCTGCCCCAACTCCCAGCCATCTCTAAAATCCTTCCTCCTGCACAATCCCCACTCTGAGATCCCTAAGCAGCTATTGGTTGTCCAGCAGAGCTCAGTGAGGATGGGGATGTGCAAAAACACTTAAGAGTTTTGTATCTCACCAGGGTGTCCAGGCCTTGTGATTCTGATGACCTGAGGTGGGTCTGAAACATAAGAAAACAGCGAGGGGAGCATGAAAGGAGTAAATTAGCTTGCATGGGGCAGAAAGAACTGTTGGCCGTTCATGGAAGGGGGAAGCAGTACTGAGCTATGGGAGCTACTCACAGACCACTTCAAGAGAGATTGTATTCTCAACTGTTCTCCTAACTGCGGGGTAATAGACATGGCAAGTGAGGGCTCTGCCTTGATCCTGCAAAGTGGGTGTGAAGGTGAAGCCAGAAGCAAAGGTCCAGCTCCCATTGCTGTGCTGATGGTTCTGTGCAGTTGCTGGTCCTGGGAAATTACTCCATGAGATCTGAGGCTGGCTCCATGATTCTTTCCATGGGCAGGTCCCTGGCGCCTGGCAGATGAGGGTGACACTCTTCCCCAAAACCACCTCTGATAAGTTCAGGATCTTTGGCTTCTCTGCCAGCTCTGAGAAAACAAAAGTCCCCAGGATGGGATCAGAAGAAAATTCACAGACTAAAGTAACTAGGGTACAGGATACAGGAGTCCTGAATTATGGATGGTCACCAGCACTACTTTACCCCCCACTTTGTGGCAAATCCTGCCATTCTTTCGTTTGTCCTTTAACAATAACTTTGTGTCTCTCCCTTAGTAGACTGATTCCCCATGCAATGGTCTGCTTTCTCTACCAATGTTGGTCAGTGTTTCTGCTCATTGTGGACTCAGCCTGGAGAGAGAGAAATCTTGATGGCTGCCACTATGCTGCTGAACATGATCCTGAAATTGGAGGACAAAGCCAGATGTGATTTGGGAGACACAGGAAGAAAATAGGGGAAAAACAACACATTGAATGCAGCAGCCTTGGGGGGACCTGTCTTTCATCAGAAGAGGAGCACAGGCTGAGGAGGGGTCACTTAACCCTTGAACTATTTTTTCTGAAGCAAATGGCCACCCACCCAAACTGCTCACTTGTATACAGGGGAATAGGAAGCAGGTCTGCATATCTTTTGCCGTGGGGTGAGGAGCTTGGAGAGGGCAATTTCTAGGGACTCAGCTATACTGTTGCAAATAAGACGTTTCAAGTGTGTTGCAAAGTGATATATAGAAATGTGGCACTAGATGGTGATGGTGAGCCATGGCAAATTCAATACATTTTCCAAAACATTTTTTTAAAGCATTTCCTCAGTGTTTTTTAATATGTGTGTAGATTCCACCTAGGAGACATTGAACAAATCCAGAACTCCCCTGTCCACACTCCCCACCCCCTCCATGCACACACCTTCTTCCAGGAATGGGTTGTTGAACTGTGATAATGAGTCTAGATTGCCTGGATGGAAAGAGGTGGATGACCATGTAGAAACAGCTGACATTTACCTGAATGCCATGTAGCCGACACAAGCCTGGCTTGCATATTACCTTAGTCCTAGCTGAACTATTGATTGAAGGTGAATGCACACTGTGTTGGTGCAGGAGACCCAAATCAAAGGTGTTTTGCTCCTGCCATGTTGCCAAGAGCTAAGCCATGGTTTGACAGAATGTTAATCTAAACCAGTGGTTCCCAATTAGCTAATTTCTAAGGACCCCCTATTTTTCAAAAGCCAAGCCACAGTCCCCCTACTTTTGAACATTTTGATAGCTCTATGGTAGTTAACCTCTGCAAAGCAATTTTTTGAACTAAATGTGGTGTAGCCGCTAATAAGCAAAGGATTTTAGGTATACTAAAAAAACAGACTAGGGCTGAGAGATATCTGGTTTTTTAACATCTTGATATACCAGCAGCTAAACATCACAATGTTCTGATATATCACGATGTCTGAAATTGGAGATTGGGGATGAGGGAAGGAGCAGCCACAGAGCCTGGATGGCTGGGGGGAAGAGAGGAAGCGATGTCACCCCCACTGCATGGTTTGAGTTTGAGGGGGTGGGGGTGCATCAAGCCACAATCGGGGGGGGGGGCAGCCAGTGAAGAAGCACATCCACTGTGGCTGCTGCTGCTTTCCTGCTGACTAAGAAAAGCTGCTCCGAGTCAGTGCCAGGGGAAGGTAGTGCCACAATTCCTCGAAGTGAGAGCAGTCAGCTGCCCTGTTCTCCATCAGCATGAGGAGAAGGCAGCACCTCGCAATCGGCTGCCCTGGTCTCCCTCGGTGTGAGGGAAGGCAGCTCAGATCAGCAGAGTGAACAGCTGAAATCATCCTGCGATTTGGGTGGTGCCTTGAAATCAGCTGCCCTGCTCTTCCTTGTATGGGGAGTGATATACTGCTACGTATTGCTGGGTCGAAATCATTATCGTGGTGTGATTTCAAAACCAATTTTAAGCAATATATTGAAAAAAATTGCGGAGTACTAAAACAGACCATAAAATTTGTGAAATACTATGCAAAAAATGAGTTGGGGAGGGGAGGCAAGGGATGGGGCCGCGGAGGCCCTGTGTATATTCTGCAGACCCCCCAGGGGTCAATGGACTCCTAACTGGGAACCACTGACCTAAACTCAGGTTCAAGATTTGTTTCTCTCCAAAAGAAACCATGAGCTGTAGCATAGCTTGCTTTTTAGCTAACTGCTCATGGTTTGTTTGGGGCTCAGACATTAAGCTGAGGCTTAATCTCCTGTAAAACCACCTGCCCCACACCAGCAAGGGGAAGGTTCTCCACCTCCATGCTGAGCCAAAGCAAGGCTTAGCTCTGTGCAGAACAGCAGCAGGAGAAACAGAGGAGGAGCAAAGTGCCCCTAATTTTAGCCCTGTGCCTCAACCCTCTGTGCACTCACCTTAAAACCAGTCAGCTATGGGAAAGTGACCTGAGTTTGAGGCCTGGACAAGATAAGAGGCACGCCTGTTGCTCTGCCCACATTTGCTTGAGGTTCCATCCATGTGTGCTTCTGGCCCTGCCCACCACTTGCATGTGGCCCCTGGAATGAGGCTCATGAACAAAAGAAATGTCCCCCACCCAAAGCACCCTCTGGTCCTAGAATTCAGGGTGCAGTGGATTGGGACAATGTTTCAGATCTGCACTGAGGCTGATTTCAAAGGTGGCAAGAGAACACCTCTCTGCTTCTCCTGCCATTGAGGAAGCTGTGGAGAGATGCTGGGGGAAGGAGAAGAAGCAGGTGATGGGATGCAGCTGGAAGTGAAGGAGAAAATGCCTCCAGTTTCCTCTTTCTCCAAACTGTCAGCACAGAATCCATAAGAGAGTTCTTCCCTCTAGTGAGCTGTGTAAAGTATTCAGACATTTGGAGATGCAAATGATGTAATTTTGACATTACAACAATGGAGAGGAACAGGAAGCAGGGAGCACTTGTACCTCCTGTCCCTTTGGCATCAGCATAATGTCCAGAGGTCAAGGCATATTTGTAGGCAGAGCCTTTCCCCCCTTTACAGCATGAAAGAGCACAAAACAGGGAATGAGGGAGCAAATAAAGAAGTAGGAAACCTCTTACCTGTCACAGAAACATGTGGTAAAATATAAAGATGATAGCTGAATTTTAAGATCGGTCCTTTCTCAATTCGAAAATAGTACTGCCCTTCATCCTGATTCTGAACATCATTGATGCTAAAGGAACAGTCACCTTCTGATAGATTTCCAGTCAACTGGAAACGATTCCCAGCAAATGAGGCAATGCTTTGATCCTTGTCACTACTGGCAACAACACTACCAGCATTTGGGTGCCAGATGTTGCCAATATAGGACCCAGCACGATCGTTTTTAATCCAGTAGACGTATAATTCCCCAGAATACTGAGAAGTGGGATAAGTGAAGTTGCAGGGAATGTGAACGCAGAGACCTCTCTGCACGGTGACAGCCTTTAGCGCTTTAAGTTCATATCCCGGGTGCTGACTCTGCAGACCTGCCAAAGGAAAGAAGGAAGGTGTTCACTGGTTTGTGGGCTGATGCTTAGCGAAGACCAGTTTTGCAGCTGACCCTCTTGCCAGCATACTGTACACCTCGAGAAGAACATTCTGCACAGTCAACAGCACCAAAACATCAAGGGTTGTCTGGAGCAGCGGCACCTGGGGATTGTGGTGGGTCTCCAGTCCCAGGACTTCCCAACCACCCACCACAGTAGCAGGACCTCAGGGGGAAGACTTTCCTGGGCCAGGGCAAGAAGGAGGAGGACATTCAGGTGTGAGTGTCTAGCAGGTGCCACACACACTCTCAGTCAGAAGGAGGAAGGTGCTCTCAAGCCCCCTGACCAAGGACCCTGAACCCAGGGATATTCCGGTGCGCCTCACACTGGAGCTCTTCCTGCTATTTGTACTCAGGACTCATCATTTCCAAGTTTTCAAATTCTTCACTCTTAAATTAAACCATGAAGTGAGCAAAACTTAGGAGGAACATAGGAAGCAGGGCTGGCCTCAAGACGTGGCATGGTTGGGTGTCTGTCAAGAGCCCTTATCCCAGTGGGGACTCAATGATAAGGACCCTCTGGAGCTCCTGCAGTGAGGAGGAAGACCTTGTGAGGAAGGGGCATGTGTGGAGGGTGTCTTGTTCAAGGACCACCCAAAACCTGGACCTGATCAGAAGCTGCCTTATGCTGAGTCCATCCACTGGTCCATCTAGTTTTACTCTGATGGGTCATGCCTTTCCAGTGTCCCAGACAGGAACCTCTGCCAGCCCTTTCTGGAGATGCTCAGGGTTGAACCTGGATCTTTTTGCATGCAAGTTGTTGTTGTTGTTTGTTGTTGCTGCTGCTGTTTATTTATTCCCTGCCTTTTTTGCCTGACAGGTACTCAAGTTGGCTTACAGATAAAAATACAGTGGATGCTCGGGTTGCGAACGTCATCCATACAGGATGCATGTTTGCAACCCGCAGCAGCACATCTGTGCACACGCGCGTTGCAATTCAGCACTTCTGCACATGTGCGACAGCCGAAACCCGGAAGTAACCCATTTCGGTACTTCCAGGTTTTGGCGGGTCCGTAACCCGAAAGAACGCAACCTGAAGCGTCTGTAACCTGAGGTATGACCGTATAAACAGCTGAGGGGAAAATAGTCACTAAAAAATGATTAAACATTGGTAGAATCAAAACTACACACATACACTTGAAACATACATATAGTTACAATGAAAACAGCACAGCACCATCCCTTTCATTAAAAAACTGTCAGTTTCCAAAAGGAAGTTCTCCTCCACTGAGCCAAGGTCCTTCCCTCTTGGGACATAGCACTCAGAAGAGCAAATTTTCTCATTTCTGCACACCAGGGATGGATAGTATGTGACCCTTCAAAAGTTGGGGCTTGGCCGTGCTGGCTGCAGGTTCCCCAGCCACCATATCTACCTTTGCAGAGAAAGGCAAGAATCAACAGTGTCACCGTCACCATGGATGAGGCTGGGTTCTTCACCTCCCAGGTGAGGCTCATGAGTCCTCTGGTCCTTCTGCCCTTTGGCATCTTTTCTGAACTGGAGGCTTCTTTCTGAGGATGGAGCTCTGGGGCAAAGAAATAAGAGAAGAGGAGCATGGGGCACTAAGTGAGCAGTGCTGGCTGAAGCAGGGAGTGTACGTGGAACTCATAGATTCTGGAAGAATAAAAATATGCAAGCAGTGTTCACCACAAAGTCTCCCATTCGAATTCGACCATCTACCGTGAATTCAGATGCCAGGGTCATAAGGGCCACTAGCCGCAGCTTCACTTTTCCTGTTTATAATGCAGGGTTAAATTAGTCAAGGGGTTGGAAACCTCAAGCCATGGGGGGAGGGGGCCAAATGTGGCCCTCCAGTCCTCTGTATCTGGCCCTTGAAATTCTTACTAGGCTACACACCTTTTCACTTCTCATCCTTCTTGAGAATTGGCTTGCCTGGAATGTGCCCCCGGATGGTGAGAATGCCCTATTGCTTTCCTGGACTGGGGAGAAATGTGCATGGAATGCTAGTGGCTATAGAAACCTCTAGTTTTTTTTGCTGTACAAAGGTAAGAATTTTGTCAGTTGTTCCACCCACTCTGATCTTGCCCACTGCTGGCATATGAGCCCAGGAAGCTTGTCCATGAGGGAATGTGGGAGAGCTGAGGGAGTCTCCATACTGGTACACACACACAATCACACACACACACACACACACACACACACACAGTGGAGCCAGTCTCTTTCCACAGGCACCCAGGCACCAAAAGAGTCATGCTCCTGAGGTATCTCACACAGGAACGCAAAGGAAGCTCGCACCCTGGTGAGAGGGCCACTGTGGAATCTGAGCTAAGGAGCCAAGTGCATCTGTTTGTGTGTGTTTGTTGGGCAGCAATGAATGGAGAAGAAGGAGAAGACTGAAGAGAAAGGAGGACCCAATTGCCGCCCCTCCCTTTGATAGTTCCATGTTGTTTCCACAGATGAAATTTCTCTTCTCAGGTTGCTATTTGCCACCCTTGTGAGGCAAATAGCAGCTTGCGGGGGAGGATGAGCCCTCACTGATGTGGACATGTGGCGAACTAAAGACTGGGGAAATGAGACACTGAGAGAAACTAGGGGGAGTGCTCCGGCAGGGAGCTTGAAAGCAAAGACCTGAGCCTAGAAACGCAGCGCAAAAACCATGGATGAACCCCTTGCTGAATATAGCTGCACCTGCAGAATAAATGCAAGAAACAGGAGAACTACCCCTCCCAGAACCTTCCCATTTTTGCCTGAGTTTTGTTCTGCAATAGTCGCCCTTGGGGAAAACAGCCTCTTTTGCTCCTTTCTCTGAGAGTGGGAGAGAGAGAAAAAGAGATACAGAAAGAAAGCTGCCTTTAACACCAGGGCAAGCCCAAGACATTTTGATATTTGAGGTGGAGCAGGAACTGGCGCACACACACACACACACACACACACATACACCAAAAAACAAAACAAAAAAAACAAGGTGCATAGTATTAAAGGCCAGTCAAATTATTTTGACACAACACCTTAAATCAGCTTTCTGCCTGAAGCAGCTCCCTCACCCTGCCCAATAGTAGGGTTGGCTTTGCTTACCAACCCTCAAAAGATCCTCCCAAACATCGGCTTACTAAACCTCTTCTTGTGAAATGTGAATCCTCAGAATGATAGCTTACCCCTCACAGAGCTACGATTGAGAGCAGCTTTAAAAAAATGACCTTTCCTGGGATACTTTTGGGGGTGCTTTAAATGTGTAGTGTGTATGCAGCCTTTGATTCAGGTTCAGTTTCTGGCTCAGCAGACATACCTCTGTCTAGGCTCAGAATTCCCTTTTCTCTCCTCACCTCTCCGATTCAACTTGAAGCAGTGAGCGAGGAACCTCCTTGTTGCTTCTGCCTTTCTGTCTGTGGTGCTGAACCTCTGGGAGAATTTTGCTAAACTAAGAAGGGCATTAGGTAATAGGAACCGGAAAAGCAGAAGTCTCAGAAGATGGCTTAGTCAAACAGGATGTAAGCAGGGTTAGATTCTCGGTCATCTTCCCCTTCTATTTTTATGGGAAATCATTTACAAAAATCTGCATGGAATGATTTTGTGACTTGGGGGCAATGTCCCACAGGGTCTTTTATGTCCCAGCACCTGGGATGTAGCAAATTATTTTCTTCCATGGAGGTGGTATTTCACTAGCAATGGTGCCCCACATCCTGGTTTTCTGCTACTTAAATTTATTTTGGAATGCATAGACGCGGGTTGCGTTCCTTTCAGGTTGCGAATGGGGCTCCGGAATGGATCCTGTTTGCAACCAGAGATACCACTGTACTTGAAGGCAGCAGGCTAACTTAAGGAGCATAGGACACACTTCAGAGAAGAATCCTAGATCAATGGCAGAATATCTGCTTGGCATAGAGAAAGTCCTAGGTTCAGTCCCCAGCATTTCACCATAGGGCTGGGAATGCTCCTTGTCTGATTCACTGCAAAGCAGTTGCCAGTCTGTGTAGACAATATTGGTCTTGCTGGAACAACAATATGATGCAGGAAAAGGCAATTTCCTATATTTCTCTGCATGGAAGCTTTTCCTCCAGCATCACTTGCTGCTCTGCCTGCCTTCTATTGGCTACATACTCAAAAGAATTCCACCAGCATGTATCAATTGAGTAGATCTGGCATGTAGAAAGGCGGTGGGATTGCATGGCCTGGGCTGGCTGCCTCTTTGCACATCGCAGTCATGCCTCCTGGGAGGAATTGAGAGAAGATGGCAAAGTGTGACAGCTGCTGGCCTAAACCAGCAAGGAACAAGCACTGGAGAATCCCCAGGCAAGGATGGGAGAGAAACTGAGTACTGCCAATTTCGCACTTTCTTAAACAATATGCAAATCAAAATGCAACTGTCCTTCAAATTCTTATTTTCCCAAATGTTGCAATGCAGTTCTCCAACTGAATGTGGATGTGAAAGCATTAAAGGAGACTCCTTGCCAAAATGTGCATTAGGCCACATGGCGCACAAAAGGAGGAATGCACTCTAAATTACTGACACATTTTCACAAGGACTAGAAGAAGAAGAAGAAGAAGAAGAAGAAGAAGAAGAAGAAGAAGAAGAAGAAGAAGAAGAAGAAGCAGCAGCAGCAGCAGCAGCAGCAGCCAACTGATGCCAAAAGAACTGGACAACTCAACATAAGACTGGCAAAGTGAGACATGGAACTAGACAAATCATTCCATTCCTAGCTCCAAACCAGCATAGTGAATGATCAAGGACAACAGGGGTTGCAGTCAAGGAATATCTAGAGCAGGGTTTCCCAAACTTGGGTCTCCCACTGTTTTTGGACTACAGGTCCCATCAGGCTAGCAAGACCAGTGGTCAGGGATAATGGGAACTGTAGTCCAAAAACAGCTAGAGACCCCTGTTTGGGAAACTCTGATCTAGAGGGTCAAATGTTTTTCATCCCATTTATAATCCTAAAAGCTGTCCAAGGAACAATCAGCCTGGTTTGTTATAATGTCAAGGAAATACTTCAAAACAAGGTAATTGAGTACTGCAGTCTTTGTCAACTTTAGGAAGAAGGATTCAGACATTAAAAGCATCTTTTTTCTTCACTGTATGTTGTCCATTACATCCACTACACCACAAACTCGCATCCAGAGTACTTCAAATTTTTTTGTATTAAAATAAATAAATCCAGCTGATGTCTATGTATGGAAAAGCAGTGCTAATAATCCATGTTCTTTGTGTTTCATTTGAAATCAACATATTGTTGCTCTTTCCTTGCATGGGCCAAAGACATCCAGGAGTGCACAGCCATGTGTGTGATGCTGCAGCTTCCACTGAGCAAAAGAACTACAGAAGATCCAGGCAACATCATCTTTGCTGCTTGCTTCTGCCCTCTTCTGTGAATTGAGCCTTCTTCTGGTTTGAACAGCAATAGGCCAAGCATCTTATGTTGTCAAACAGGCATTTTGAAATGAGGACATCCACTTAAGTCGACTCGGACACTGAGAGGAAGAGGGTTTCATGCAGTAAAATCAAGGCATCTCTTTGCAATAGAGCTTAGAAGTCCATGTCAAAAACGCTACAAATGCACAATCATACACACAGTGTTTAAAGAGTGGTAAACACTTTTCAATATATTGGTTGTATATGGAAGGGTTTGCATTCATGGTGGGACCAAGAGTAGCAATTTAGCCCCATTTGCTGTGATGCAAAACAGAAATAATTTGTCCAGAGGTGCAAATAAATAAATTTCCAAGTAAGGTTAGAAATATGAGCAGTGTGGTAAATGTACAGAATGATTTGGGTGGTATGAAAAGGATACGAAGCAAAAAACAAAATAAATAAGGAACCATGGAGAGGTGGAGGCGGAAGTCTTTTGATACAAGACTTAATGAAAGAAACTGTAAGGTGTGTATATTAAGTCTGTGAAAACGCATTAATAATAATAATAATAATAATAATAATAATAATAATAATAAAAATTATAATAATAATAATAAAGATTGTTACTATTGTTGTTCTTTGTTATTATTGTTATTCCTGAATTCTGACTTTTGTCCGTTATTGGGGATCTCTGTTTTAATGGTGGTAATTTATCATGCTGGTGTCCTATCTTTGTATACCGCTTAGAGGTACTTAAATATTAAGCAGTTTAAAAACACTAAGAAATAAATAAGTGATATTCCTTCTCCCCAGCTCAAGGGGATCTGGGAAAAATATGTTTGCTTTTTTGTCCAAGCCCATCCTGTGTTTCAGCCCAAACTGATGAACCTTCATATGTTGTTTAACTCCCATTATCTCTGCCTAATAAGTGTATCTGAGGCTCCAATACTTTAGCCACCTCATGAGAAGAGAAGACTCCATGGAAAAAACCCTGATGTTGGGAAAGATGGAGGGCCCCTCAGGAGAAGGGGATGACAGAGGCATAGCTGTCAATGTTTTCCTTTTTTTTAAGGGAAATTCCCTTCTTCCGAATAGGATTCCTCGCAAGAAAAGGGAAAAGTTGACAGCTATGAACAGAGGACGAGATGGTTGGACTGTGTTCTTGAAGCTACCAACATGAGTCTTACCAAACTGCGGGAGGCAGTGGAAAACAGGAGTGCCTGGCGTGCTCTGGTCCATGGGGTCACGAAAAGTCGGGCACAGCTAAACGAATAAAAACAACAGCAATAAGTGTATCGTGACTCTAAAGAGTTGGACTAGCAGGCTATACTTGGTCAGGAGTAGCAACCTACATTTGCCTCTGAGATTTTCAGCTGCTACAGGCAACAATGCATAGGAATTTAAGGTCAGGTCTGGGGGACTTCTGGCAATTGGTTGGGTAGGAACTTTACTGTTTTAGGCTGCAAAGTCTTTCATCCCAAGGCAGGTGATGTTCTGGCCATTGATCCAGGCTCTGTTTCCAGCACAGGAAGCTGGTCGCACTATTTTCCTGGACCTGAGGGGTCCTCAGGTGCTGTTTTCAAAGAGGGTCTCTCCATCCACTTGCTGCAGGCAGCACACAGAATTTCTTTGGTTGCTGCTGAGCCTGGAGCCACCCGGAAAGGAACAAAACCCAGGGTGAGTGATAAAGCAGCTCTGAGGATAAAATGCCAGGCAGCAGTTTCACAATGAATCAGTAGAGGATGCTGCAAAGTGACTGCAGTTAAACAGTGGCAAGACTGTCTCATAGAGCGACGCTGCTGTGATACCAGCTCCCTCTTAAAGAGGAACTGTATTTTTGTGCTAATAAACCAATTCATGCTGCCCATTGGTCAACAGAATCCCAGCTCTTGGAATTTGACAGAGGTGGTGGGCAGTACAGTGGTACCTCGGGTTACACACGCTTCAGGTTACATACACTTCAGGTTACAGCCAGAAATAGTGCTTCAGGTTAAGAACTTTGCTTCAGGATGAGAACAGAAATCGTGCTTTGGTGGCGCGGCAGCAGCAGGAGGCCCCATTAGCTAAAGTGGTGCTTCAGGTTAAGAACAGACCTCCGGAACGAATTAAGTACTTAACCCAAGGTACCACTGCAATAGGTAAAGTCCTCTCCTGCTGAATTTCTGCCTGTAAATGCAAATATTAAAGTCCTAAGCGCCCTACAAAAAGAAGAGGCCAGCAAATGTAATCTAGGGTAGAATCTACACACATATGAAAAACGCTGTGAAAATGCTTTTTTAAAAAACGTTTTGAAAAATACATTGCATTTGTCATGGCTCACTTTCGCCATCTAGTGTCACATTTGTATATTGCACTTTACCACACACTTAAAATGTTTTATTTGCAGCTGTATAGCTGAGTCCTACATGTCCTCCGGTAATGTTGGGACTTAGCTTCTGTGACCAGAATTCTGAAAACCCACAACCATAGGAGGGCTCTCTGGCAATGCCCAATTCTCCATTTTGTCGATCACACAGTGCCATTTTTCTTTTTCTAGAAAAATAGCCCTGCTTAAGGTACATGTGTTTATCATTATATTTTGGGAATGATTCACGTTTACATGTAGCTGCATTGTTTTATTTTTTCCAGACGTCCCATGATCGTGTTATAAAGTAGTTGTGTTCTGTGTTACAAATTAAGCACTGCGAGGAGTTGTTCCTTTTTGTTTTCCAATGTATTTCTTATCAATAAAATTTTTGGTGTGGTGATAACAGGTTTTTATTCTGAAAGTGTAGCCCAGAAGAAAAAGTTTGAGAACCAAAGTATTAGGCGGTTTGATGTGCTTCTACCCTGTCCTCATCCATTTCCCACCTACCTGCCTTCTGCCCTACAACTAAGTCCAGAGGGTGTTTCTGACCTTCCTCCTCCTTTGTCTCAGTATTGACTTTGTAGACAATTCTGAGCAAGACAGACCAATCTTGGTATAAGGCAACTTACTGGAAGAAGAAGAAATCAAGACAACAAACTTTTTAGAAAGGAATGGAAGTGGTTTATTGAATATTTAAAA